TTTTTTTTTTTTTTTAGAGACAGAGTCTTACCCCATTGCTCTTGGTAGAGTGCTCTGACGTCACAGTTCACAGCAACCTCCAACTCCTGGGCTCAGGTGATTCTCTTGCCTCAGCCTCCCAAGTAGTTGGGACTACAGGTGCCTGCCACAATGCCTGGCTATTTTTTGTTGCATTTTGGTTGGGGTTGGGTTTGAACCCACCACCTTTGGTATATGGGGCCAGCGCCCTACTCACTGAGTCACCGGTGTCGCCCCAGTTACACATTTTTAAAATGTACAATTTAACAAGTCTTAATATGTTTATATCTTATTTTCAATCAAGATAGTGAACGTCAGCGGTACATTGTGGTAGTGCCTGTAGTTCCAGCTACTTGGGAGGCTGAGGCAAGAGAATTTTTTTTTTCCTCAGTTTTTGGCCAGGGCTGAGTTTGAACTCACCACCTCTGGTACATGGGGCCTGTGCCCTACTCCTTGAGCCACAGGCACTGCCCCAGGCAAGAGAATCTTAAGCCCAAGAGTTAGAGGTTGCTGAGAGATGTGACCACAGCATTCTACTGAGGGTGACATAATGAGACTGTCTCAAAAACAAAACAAAAAAAGCTAGTGAATGTGTCCACCACCCCCACAGTTCTTCATGTTCCTTTTTAATCCTTCCTTCCTGAGCAGCTTTCTGTCAGTATGATTTAGTTTGCATTTTGTAGATTTTATATAAATGGAATCACACAGTACTCTTTAGGCCTGGCTTTTTTCACTGGCCTTACTGTTTTGTTGTTGTTGTTGTTGTTTGGGGGCAGAGTCTCAAGCTGTCACTCTGGGTAGAGTGGCATGGTATCACAGCTCACAGCAACCTCAAACTCTTGGGCTTAAGCAATTCTCTTGCCTCAGCCTCCCAAGTATCTGGGACTAAGATAATTTTATTTATCTTTATCATTTCTGATTTAGGTTATTAAAGATTTTACTTTTGTATTTCTGGTTAATCTGGTCAATGGTTTATTAATTTTATTTATCTTTTCAAAGAACTTTTTGTTTAATTTTCTGAATGAATCTTTTCTTTTCAATTTCATTTATTTCTGATTTAATTTTGGTTATTTCTTTTCTTAAAAGTGTCTGCCACAACACTCAGCTATTTTTTTTTTAGAGACAGAATCTCATTTTGTCACCCTTGGTAGAGTGCCGTGGCATCACAGCTCATAGCAACCTCCAGCTTTTAGACTTAGGCAATTCTCTTGCCTCAGCCTCCTGAGTAGCTAGGACTACAGGCGCCTGCCACAATGCCCAGCTATTTTTTTTTGTTACAGTTTGGCTAGGACTGGGTTTGAACTCACCACCCTTAGTATATGGGGCGGGTGCCCTACTCACTGAGCCATAGGTGCCACCCAGTGCCAAGCTATTTTTTTGGTTGTAGTTTTCATTGTTTGGCAGGCCCAGGCTGGATTTGAACCCTCCAGCTCTGTTGTATGTGGCTGGCGCCTTAGCTGCTTGAGCTACAGGCTCCAAGCCTGGAGCAGACATATAAACCATAATGATGGACATTCAGGTTGCTTCCAGTTTTTGGTTATTACCAAAAAAGCTGCTAAAGACATGTGTGTGTGAGACTTTCTTTCTCACAGCAACCTCAAACTCTTGGGCTTAAGCAATTCTCTTGCTTTAGCCTCTGTAGTAGCTGGGACTACAGGAGCCCACTGCAACACTATTTTTGTTGTTGTTGTTTAGCAGGCCTGGGCTGGTTTGAACTCACCAGCTCTGGTGTATGTGGCTGGCATCCTAACCACTGAGCTACAGGCACCAAGCCTATAAGACTTTTGTTGGATGTATGTTTTCATTTCTTTAGGTAAATACCTATAAGCAGAGTCTCTAATCATATGTCAACTTTCATGAAACTACCAAACTATCTCTATGATGTTGACACCATTTTAAATCCTCCTCAGCAGTGTTTGAGAGTGTGGTAGTTAAGCATTGGTTCCACAGCAACATTTGGTATGGTCAGTCTTTTTAATTTTAGCCATTCTGATAGGGATGTAGTGGTAGCTCACTATGGTTTTCATTTGCATATCTCTCATCGACTAGTCATGTTGGGAGTCTAGGGGCAGACCTCTGTGTAGAATGGTTGAGTCATCTGAGAGATGTTCTCCATTCTGTCCCAGTGACCTGTATATCTCAGCACCAAGATCCACTTGGTGAATTACTGTAGTTCTCATATAATGCAACACATGCCAGGCCTGCCCTCCCATTCCCACATAGCAGGAAGTCCCGAGAGTGGCAGAAGCACAGCCTGTGCACTCACATGTGGCAGACCTATATCTTTCCTTGTCACTGGCTGATTTTTCCAGATGAATTTAGGTGATAGTCTGTCAGGTTCTAAAAGCAAACTGAGGGGGGAGCCTGTGGCTCAGTGAGTAAGGCGCCGGCCCCATATACCGAGGGTGGCGGGTTCAAACCCAGACCCGGCCAAACTGCAACAAAAAATAGCCGGGCGTTGTGGTGGGCGCCTGTAGTCCCAGCTACTTGGGAGGCTGAGGCAGAAGAATCGCCTAAGCCC